AAGAAAATATCAAAGTAATCCAAGTTCAAGGTACCTTTGCAAGAATTTTTATATGATCAATTTTAAGATACCTTATTGAAGTAAATAGTACCTTTGAAGGGCTGCATCTGCAGAAATAGGTTTAGGAGAGTCTTTGATGCATACATATGATGGTTACAAATATGATAAATCAATGTTCAAGGTAGATATTGAAGTCAAGGAACTATTCATACATGTTTACAAATATGATGGATCAATCATGCCAATTTCTCTTCTCAAATTGAAAAACACTTCTTTTGAGAAAGGTTTGGTAAAAATGTCGGCCAATTGTTTTGAAGATTCCACAAATTCTAAGATACAATCACCATTTTGAACATGATCTCGTATAAAATGATGTCTAATATCAATATGTTTAGTCCTTGAGTGCATTATGGGATTCTTGGTGAGATTGATGGCACTAGTGTTATCACACCTAATGGGGATGTGATCAAGTTCAACCTCATAGTCCTTTAGTTGTTGTTTCATCCATAGAATTTGTGCACAACAACTACCGGCCGTCACATATTCTGCTTCGGCCGTGGACAATGCCACACTATTTTGCTTCTTACTATGCCAAGAAACTAGTGAGCAACCAAGAAAGTGGCAAGTGCCATTAGTGCTTTTCCTATCCAATTTGCAACCCGCAAAGTCGGAATCGGAATATCCTATTAATTCACATGATGCACCTTTAGGGTACCATAATCCCATTTGTGAAGTGCCTACAAGATATCTTAAAATTCGTTTTACGGCACTTAAGTGTGATTCTTTAGGATTAGCTTGAAATCTAGCACATATGCACACACTAAACATAATATCGGGCCTACTTGCGGTTAAATAAAGAAGTGAGCCGGTCATACCTCGATATTTAGTAATTTCTATGGATTTACCTCCTTCATCCTTGTCTAAAGAACAAGATGTACCCATGGGAGTATCAATGGCCTTGGAGTTGTCCATTCCATATTTTTTGAGTAACTTTTTGCAATATTTTGCTTGATTGATGAATATCCCATTCTTTTGTTGCTTTATTTGGAGACCAAGAAAGAAGTTTAGCTCTCCCATCATAGACATCTCAAATTCGCTTTGCATAAGATTAGCAAACTCTTCACAAAGATTAACGTTAGTGGCACCAGAGATAATATCATCAACATAAATTTGTGCAAATAATATATGATCATCTTTCTTCTTTATAAAAAGAGTTGTGTCCACTTTTCCTCTTGAAAAACTTTTTTCTAAAAGAAATTTGCTTAATCTTTTATACCAAGCTCTTGGAGCTTGTTTTAAACCATATAAAGCTTTTTTAAGTTTAAAGACATGGTTAGGTAAATCATGATCTTCAAAATCGGGAAGTTGATCAACATATATACTTCTTCTTGAATATATCCATTTAAAAAGGCACTTTTACCATCCATTTGAAAGAGTTTAAAATCCATTATACATGCAAATGCAAGTAATAATCTAATAGCTTCTAATCTAGCAACGAGAGCATAAGTTTCATCATAGTCAATGCCTTCCTCTTGATTATAACCTTTAACAACAAGTCTAGCTTTATTTCTAGTGCTTTATTTCTAATGATTATGCCATTTTCATCAAGTTTATTCCTAAAGACCCATTTGGTTCCAATTATTGGATAATCATTTGGTTTTGGCACAAGTTCCCAAACTTGATTTCTTTATGGTCTTAGGTTCAATTTGAGAAACAAATGCTAAGTGATTACAAATATTTCTAATTGAGTTTCTAGTAGTTACCCCTTTGGATATATCACCAATTACCACATCAATGGGGTGTCCTCTAGCTACTCTCCAATCTTATGGTAGATTGTCTCCTTCATTGGTTTGTTGACGTGGTGTTTCTTCATTGTTTGCTTCCTTTTCTTTTTGCCTTTCATCTTCCTCTTTGTCATCCAAGTTTATGTTTTCCATGCTTTCTATAACATCATCATCACAAAATTCCTTTCTAGACAAGGCATTGTTAATCTCATTAAATACAACATGAATAGACTCTTCAATGACCATTGTTCTTTTATTATAGATTCTATAAGCTCTACTTGTAAGTGAATATCCTAGAAATATGCCTTCATCGGCTTTAGAGTCAAAGTTGCCAAGGTTTTGTTATCAAAAAAAAAAAAAAAAAAAAAAAAGTTGCCAAGGTTTTCTTTTTCATTATTTAAAACAAACATTTGCAACCAAAGACATGAAAATATGAAATATTGGGTTTTCTTCCTTTGTAAAGTTCATAGGGAGTTTTCTTCAAAATAGGTCTAATTAAAGCACGGTTCATAACATAACACGCGGTGCCAACGGCTTCCGCCCAAAAATATTTTGGAAGATCATTTTCATTTAACATGGTTCTAGCAAGTTCTTCCAATACACGATTTTTCCTTTCTACAACCCCATTTTGTTGTGGAGTCCTAGGAGCGGAAAAATTATGTTCAATAATTTTCTTCACAAAAGATTTCAAAATCTTGATTTTCAAATTCTCCACCATGATCGGTTCTAATTGAAACAATATTTGGAGATTGTTCATTTTGAATAAGCTTGGCTAGTCTCTTGAATGATTTAAAAGCATCGTTTTTATATGTAAGAAATAAAGTCCAAGTATAGCGAGAATAATCATCCACAATGACCAAAGCATAGTAATTGACACCAAAGCTCATGGTTCTAGTTGGTCCAAAAAGATCCATATGTAAAAGTTGTAAAGGCTTTGTGGTAGAAACAATATTTTTTGATTTAAAAGAAGCTTTTACTTGTTTTCCCATTTGACAAGCATCACAAACTTTATCTTTTTCAAATTTGAGCTTTGGTAACCCAATCACTAGGTCTAAGGAAATCAATTTGCTTAATTGACCCATGCCAATGTGTGCTATTCTTCTATGCCATAACTAAGAGTCATCTTCCTTACTAATCAAACATTTATCGTCATTTGAAGGCATACTATCTAAGTCAATCATATAAATGTTATCTACTCTATGACCAAGAAACTTAACTTGTCCATCTATTAGACTTTCAATTTTACAAGAGGTTAAGTCAAAAACAACTCTATAATTTTTATCACACAATTGACTAATGCTAAGCAAGTTATGTCTAAGGCCCTCAACAAGTAAAACATTTTCTATAGAAACGGAGGAGGAATTACCAACTTTTCCAATACTGAGAATCTTTCCTTTGTTGTTATCTCCATAAGAAACATGTCCATACTCTTTCTTTGTGAATGATTGGAATTTAGTTACATCTCCCGTCATGTGACTTGAGCAACCACTATCCAAGTACCACTTGGAGCTTTTAGCCTTCAAGCAAACCTACATCACAAAGTCAAGTTTTAATCTTTGGTACCCACACCATGTTGGGTCCTTGTGTGTTAGTTTAGAGCTTAGTTCCCTTAGGAACCCACACTTTCTTTTGCCCAATAATACCATTCTTTCTAACTTTACATGTGGACGCACTATGACCTTTTCCACCACAATGAAAACATTTAATGAATGGGCTACTTGTCATGTAGGATGAAGAAATGAAAAAGTTTTTATATGATTTTTCTTGTGTGCTAGTGTCAAAGCCTAAATCGGATTTGTTGAACATGCATCTTTGTTTACCAAGCAACACATTTAAGTTATCTCTTCCACATGTGAATTTGTTTAGAATTTCATTTAAATCATCAATTTCATTGTTTAGATTTTTACATGAAGTACATGATGATGAAGATGCATGATCATTTGAAGATAGGCATTTGATACAACTAGTGCTAGCATCAAGTAATTTGAGAGTCTCATTTTCATCTTTCAAATCTTTCACTTCCTTTTCTAAAGACGCAATTTATTTTTCCAAAGAACTAATAGTCTTTCTTGATGCTCTAAGAGTTTTAACATGTTTTAGTGTTTCATTATGCATTTCTTCAAACATGTCAGATAACTCAAACATGACACTTAATTCGCAATAAATGATAACCGTTGATTGACGGAAATCAACGGTTAAGATGTGATAGTAACATTAGTAGTAACATTAATTGGTTGTCACAATATCCTATTCCATAATTTAATATATGAAAATAAATAGGCTGAAATTCAAAAGATTGATCAAAATTTAAGAGGAAGGTTATACTTACAACTTTTTATTTTTACAACCTCTTACAACCATATATCATAACCGTTGATTTCCGCCAATTAACGGTTCTCATTTATTATGAATTAATAATTAATTAATAAATTTAATTTGCGAAAATCATAACCGTTGATTGGCGAAAATCAACGGTTATGATATATGGTTGTAACAGGTTGTAAGAAAAAGTTGTAACTATAACCTATCCCAAAATTTAATGCAAAATAAAAATTTAAAAATAATTAATTTAAAAGCATGAATAGTTGAAATTTATTAAAAAAAATTCAAGTTAAATTTGTATAATATAAGTAGTTAAGATATGAAAAAAAAAAATTAACGTAATAGAAAAAAATGAAAAAATAATGATTTAAAAATGTTTAAAAAAAATGCTAAACATTGATAAAGTCTAGTGTTTGAAGAAGCAAGAGAGTATATATAAAAAATTATCTTGCTACTAAAAATGAGAACTTTATTTTATTGTACCGGGTGGATAATTTATAATTCATTTTACAAACCTAAATTATTTTGGTGAAATGATCCTTTATTTTGTTTAATACGCTACTCTGTCCGTAAACTGCCTAATAGTAGCAGTCATGTGAAGAAACAACATAATAACTATATTCTATAGTCCATATATTAGCTATCAAAGATGCTTAGGGAGCAGGACTCCTCTCACTTTATCTTGCAGAGCATATAAATTATATATAGGATGGATTCTACAAATATCTGTTCTAAATATGTAATAATAATTTACATTCATCTTTCTCCATTCCTAAAATATCAGATAAAATAGGTTCATAGCCATTATTAATTGCTGAAGTAAATGTAGATAAATCTCTTAACACAATTAAATTTACTTAGGTAAAGAGAATATGCAGAATGAATCAGGTGACCTCAAGATTCCAAGAATGCATCAACCTTTGCATTTGCTGCTCTGGACAAAAATTTCATGCAGATAGGTGGCTTCACTCCTGCCAGTGCCAGAAATGAGCTAGGTAGTGTCCAGATTCCATCCCCACATATCAAACCAGAAGCCACAGCTGATGCAAATGTATCAGCATTAGCCTTGTCAAGCTTCTGCCAGATAAATAAGATCAAGCTTCCAAGACACATATCAATGGCAAAGTAACTTCCAATATAAAAGGGTATAGCCATGGCCATAGGAACAGGAATAAATCTAGACCACTTGTTTCCAACCAGATCTCGAATAAGATTGATAACTATGGCTCCAACAAAAAATACACAGCAAAGGGTGAGGCAGTATCTTGGCAGAGCTGAGAAGCCATCTACCCCCAATATTGCCATATTACGATAAACAAGAGCATAAGGGGCAGGGTATGCTGAGCCAGGAACCCCAAGGTTGCCAAAGGCCTTGTAGAAAAGCCAGAAGACACAAGGAGATATAACGCAACCCATGGCCGTTCCAACAACTTGACTCAAAAACATGGACCTTGGCGAAGCCAATGTCATGTAGCCTGTTTTGAAGTCCTGCATTAGGTCAGATGCTGTGGACACAATGTTCATCATGACCCCACATGCAGCCAAACCAGCAAGAACCCCACCATTAGAAGCCCCTGCCCATGCCCCAATAGTGAAGATGGCCAATTTTCCATACGTTGATCCAAGGGACCAGTCTGTCAGACCACACCCATAGGCATTACAAAATGCTAGTGCTGGTGCAATAATGTAAATCACAACAATGTAATACCACTTTAGCTGGTGGAAAATGTGGGGAATCGTGACAATGGAGATTACTGCAAGACTAACATAGCCAATAACAGCAAACCAGGGGGGAATTTGGTCTTTGAGGAACAGCTCAGTTCTTCGCTTATCATCATATGAAAGTGATGGAGGTGGTGAGGTTGAATCGCTGGATGGACGAACTGTGTCCAAGCTTTTTTTACAGAATTGGTTATACAAACCAAAAAGAGTGCGGCCAAGAACCTTGACAAAGTTGTATAGACCGTCACCAAGAATCATTGCTATGGCTATGAAAACCTGCGGTTTAAAGAATAAATTAATAAGAAAAATCAACTGCCAGGTGTTCCTCAATTAGTTACAATATCATGCATAGAACCATAGGAAGAAATTATCAATAAATCACTCTAAAACTAATTAGTGGGCGCATTGCCTCATATATTTATAATAAAATTCAATAAATTCTGTCCAAGTTGTTAATTTTATTTAGGTGAGGTTTCTTTATTATTTGAGGGTGTTTCAAGTGCCTTTTTACCTTCTCGATACATTTATTACATTCAATCATAGCTTTAATTAAGTTACTAATGATTTCAGATTGCCAATTTAAACTATAAACAACTTTTGATACAAATAACCAAAATCACCAAATTACAAAATAAACAATACAATCCAAATTTTGGCTGCTCTTCAATTAAGGTCTTGACATTTCTGTCCTGTCTGTCTTTTTTCATCTTAATCTTACTAATGCATTTTTTTATGATCAGTTCTGACTAAAACCCCAAGTTATACCATAAGTTAGAATCACATGTACTCTATAATATAAATTCATAGTAGAATACCAGCACTAAGTTCTTAAAATATCTCAAAACTCCTAAAACTTCTAATCCATATCTGCAAAATCCTTGAGACGCTTCACCAGCAAATGTTACAAATAGTTCACAATTCTCTTGGAAGCATACTCTGCATGAGATTGAGGGGACAAACCTTGAGATACAGCAGTCAATCCGTTGATACCAGTGGCAAATGGTTATTTAAACAAGATATGGGAATGATTTACTTAACACCAAGATAATATATGAAATGGTAGTTTACCCACAGTTAAAACCAACTTGCTGATTTTAATCAATTTAATTGCAAATGCTAACCGTCAATTCATTGAAAACGCAAATGTCTTAAGTCATGGCATGACTGCATAAGATGAAACCTTTAAATTAATTTGTATAATTATAAATGGTCTCACTTCGACCAATGCAATAATGCATGTTATATTATATGTTTAATCAAAGTATAATTTTGATCCTGTAATAATATAGTATAAAACTTTATTAGAAAAGATATATCACATTAGCTAAATTGATCCTCAAGAATATTAGAATCTGAAGTGATATTGCAACTATTGTTCCAATTAACTGCAATTCAGCTGTTTGATTATAATAAAGCACATTTTTTGAAATTTTTAAATGCGGAAAGGGAACCTACCTTGTAACCTTGAAGGCCATGTAAGCTGCTTGACTTGAGGTCTGCAGAGTACCAGTTTCCTTTCTTAGCATCGATGAGAGGCCACATGATACCCCAGGAGAGAATTCCACCAACCAGCAGGGATATATTGATTATATATGGGCATATCATTCCAACCCCCACATAAGTAGCCGAAAAGTCAAAGAAGAACCTGTTATGAAGATAAATAAATGAAAAAAGATACATACATAGAATTACATAAAAATTAATCAATTTTAATATGGCAGTACTGACTATAAAGTGCCAACTCGTCAAGCTAGCACTTTAGTTAAATTCTTCACCATAGTCCTTTTGGTTGGTTTATTATTAAAATAAAAAGGTAAGTGACACAATCCTTTGTTTCTCCCTTTCAGGAGATGGCCCAAAACAAAATTATAGGCTAATCCACTCATCATATATTGGCGAAGATAGAGGTTTCAGCCAATCTTTATATTGGATATCCTTTATTCAAATAAGAGACTAAAGTCCTTTTTCTTTCTTTCTTTCTTTAATAAAATATAGGTGAGTCACATACTGTTGTTGATAGGCTTGTAGACCAAATGTAGGGAAGTTTACAAATCCACAACCATCACCAGCAGTGAAAAACCATTGGAAGAAACCCCACAAGAAGCTAAAGGAGAAGAACTTTCCCAGTGCGCGTACTTGCTTCCTGAAAAAGAATAAGATTCAAAAGAAGAATTAAAAGGAAATTAAGGGCATCTATTTGATGAATCTTTAATATATATATATATATATATATATATATATATATTTGCAATTAAAAAGGTCTGATCCTCACTTTGCTACTTTGGCACCCTCTGTTGTATGGAAACTGTTGATAAGATGGGCTGTTGCAGTACCACTGGGATATGTCAATTTGAAGTCTACAATCATAATCTGTAACAAGGAAAATTACCAAAAAAAAAAAAAGTCAATTCAACATGCAGTACCCAATGAGCATAATATATCCATTATAGAAAGCTTTATGTCATGCAAGCAAATATTACAATGAGATCTTCAAATTATAATCTTATCCTACATTATGGTGGCGCTGGTTATAATCAATGGGTGACAAAGGTCTACTTTGAATTTTTTCCGTAAATACAAGGTCATTACTAGATGCCATCAGTTTAGTGTACCTTCCGAAGTGGAACCACTGAAAAGAGGCCAAGAAAGCTAACAACAAATAGAAATGCTACCATCCACCCTAAACTTGGGTTCTTAATATCCTTCATGGTGCCAGCTTCAGGAGATTGTTTTGCAATATCTGAACTCATTCCAAACATGTAGCTACCAAAACCACCTGCTCAAGGAAATTCAGTTAAAGATGCGTCAACAACAAAGAAGGTTCTTTCCATCAAAAGTGTATTTAATTATTTGAGCATTGACAATAATTTCAGCATAGTGTTCTTCTCAAATCAATGTAAAAAATATATGGCAATAAATGCAACATAGACAACACAGAGATTGAACTTAGCAGAAAGATGGAAAGGGTAATATAGAACACTGAAACATCATTAACCAACTTCCCCAAAAGCTTGAGTTATTAGAAGAAGACACGAATTATTTTATATTACATTTTTAACATATCCCCTTAGGCAATAGTCTTTTGGACTTGAAGCATGGACAACACACAGGTCCAATTATCAACTCTAGATTACTTGATCATATAGGTTATGATATGATATTATGAATCAATTCTCCCAAAAGTTTAAACTGCTACATGAAGATAAATGAATGGTTTTATATTACATTTTCTAACACAAAATCCTTGTATCTCCAGTACTCAGAACTAGTTAATTTCTGTTAGAACTAATTAGAAATAATATTAGTTTTAACAATTTCTAAGGCACTAAAACTCCAGAGATTCAATTCATTATTCAATAAACTGAAGAAAAATGTGTCCTTAAAAATGACAAGGATATCCCGTAAACTTCAAAACAGGGTATCTACCACAAGCTCTGCGTCCATATAAAGTTTCAAAAAATTCATAAAATTATAATACATATCGTTCTATTAACACCATTACTCTGGTTGGTTATTCTGCGATAAATTTTTTTTTTTTGGATACAATCTGCGATAAAACTTGAACCACAGGTTTTATCTTATAACACTTCAAAAAATGTTGGACATGGAAAACCAAATGATGTTTACATCAAATATTTCTCCAATTCAGAATTCAAGTACAAAGGCTCCAATCATTCCAATGAAGAGGTCACATTGAAGTAAAGTAATTGGCATTTCAAAATCTTGAATGAGCACTGGAGCAGTAGCAAGTCAGGTTTTATTACACAACATTCCTAGCACAAGGGTAAACAAGTAAATTAACATGACCAAAAAATAATTTATTTTTTTTGAAAACCTCGAACTCTTTTTGTACTACCATCTCTATTTTTTATTCCCCGTCTTTTTCAATATTTCTTATTACCAGGGTTTAAAGTAACCACACAACTACACAAGTATGGAGAATGTCAAACAGACGACTATATGGTCAAGCTAGTCAAAGGTGTATGTACTATGTTGTCCTTATAAAATATCTACTATTTTATATAACTTATCATCTATAAATAAATTCTTAAACAAGCACATGATATGTTGATTACGACAGATAGAGAAAAGGGACATTTGCCGCTAGTGCTACTTCAATCATTGAACACACATTTTATGTATGACTAATTAGACTGGCGTTTTCTAAAGACAATATTAAACCAATTTTTTACTGTATACACTAGTTTTGCATCTCAATATTTTTTTCCCAACACATATTTTTCTTCTTTTATATATAGGCCTTACACATATTGTTCTAAGAAATAATAAAATAAGATAAATAAGTATAAATTTTTAAACAAAAAATAAATGTCATGAATATGGTAGTTAAAATCGAGATTTTAACTAAAATCAAAAGAAAGATAAAAAATCGTAAAACGTAAAATCTTAAGATAAAAAAATCATAAAAAATTATAAAAGCATTTGAAATTTTAATAAAATCATTTTGATTGAAAAAAATCATAAAATCACAGATTTAAATCGAAATTGTTCTAGACCCATTCCATGGGTCTCCAACAACTTCTAGGAGATAAGAGATTAAGATAATCTTTATTCAAATATTTAAGGATTTTATCCGCGTTTTCTGTCTTGTAGATTCTATATGATTATAATCCTCTAGAGGATCGAACAGTTAATAATATTTTGTTTTATCTAGGGCATATTTCACCTTCTCACGTATCCAAAAGGTAAAGAGACGGTTCCTTTTTTTTTTTCTTCTATTTCTGTACACGTTAAAGCTTATCGTTACTCCTCAAAAATACATTTGATAGGAATAGAATCTAAAAAAAACAATAACAATACTATTTTAAAAAAGGGAAATAATACTCTTATGCTACATAAGAGTACATCATTTTCCTACACTAATTCGTTTTCCGTGCCAATTAATTTTTCTTTTCTTTTTTAATATAAAATATGGGACCCACATTTAACTTCTCTCTACTTTTTTTATCTCCTACAATCCTACAACATAAGAAAACTTAAACCCTTAAAAAAAAGGATTTATTATTCTTATGTCACATAAGATAAAATTTATCTCCTACATACACACAAATTCAAGATGGGTCCCACTTTATTTTCTTTCTCTCCTATGAAGGTGGACCCCACCTACACATATGAGTATGTAGGAGGTAATATTTATCTCCTACTACATCAGAAAACTATTACCCTTAAAAAAAAAAACATGAACCCGTGCGGGGATTTAGAGCACAATTTGGGCACCGTCACCATGTGAGATTCACGGTGGGACCCACACCACGAGCAAACGGTGATCCCGAAATCCAGAAAAAACCCCATGAACGCGAACATATTTAAATTCAAATATAATAACTTTAATAAAAAAATTAATTTTTTATTGTTTAAATTTCAAAGAAATATTAATAATAATAAAAAAAAATTGGCAACGGATGAAACAGATTCATGATCCGAGAAAAAAAAAATCCCGGGAAAATGGAGAGAAAGAGGGAAAAGGAGCGGTTACCGCTGAATGCAATGCCGCTGGCTGCAACGACGCAGGTTTGAATGACAGTGTTCTCCTGGCGAGTGAAGGGATGTTTGAGCATTCCCGATTTGCCAAGCAACGTTGTCCATGTTTTCACGAAGAAGAACCCTAGAAGCCCCGCTGAGATGTTAAGAGATGGAATAATCCCTGTTGTTAGGTTCAGCTTCATGACGATGAACGTGAACATCACCGCCAGTATCAGACTCACCACCATCGCCCTAAACGTCAGCTGTGCCTGCCACGGCGGCACCACCTTCCCCTCGAACGCCTTCTCCACCGACGCCGCCTCCGTCATCGCCGCCTCCCCCTCGCCGCCGCGCTCGTAGTCGTTTCCTCTCGAAGCCATTCAGAAAGATTGCAGGAACGTGTGTTGCTCTGTTTTCTATGAGCGTGTTGTTACTCACAGATATGATTTTTCTCTTTTATTATTATTATTATTAAGGATTAGAGCTTGTGCTTTTAATTCAAATTTTAAATAAAAGATTAATTGTTGTTATAATATTATTGTTATTATTATTATAAGTAACAGTTACAATATCTTTTTCCTAAAAATTATATAGTAGACAATTTTTTTAATTTAAATTTTAAATAAAAGACATTAGTTTTAACTATTTTAAAAGAATAAATAATTTTTTATTAATAATAATATTTATATATTTGTACTTTCACTCCTCCATATTTTGGTAGGTATTTGATAATTTTTTACTTTCACTCCTTCGTATACTCTATAAAAGAAAAAAAAAGAAATAAATTGCCAATTAGCATAAAAGTATATAATAATTTCATTTAAAATGATATAAATTTTAAAATGATAAATATTTTTTTCCTAAAATCATAATAAAAAGTGGTTATACTTACTCTTATTTTAAGCTTACAAGTTATTACTCTTATTACCTGATTAATTATGTTGGATCAATTGATTTTAAATTCAAATTCGTTAGATAATCAATCAGATTGGCAAGATTAAAATGATACATACCTCATAATAGTAATAATAATAAATGTATTCGATTTTGTTTTAAATAAGTTGATTAATTAGGGGAAGAGGCCACCTCATCTTGAATTGCTTACCAAATTTTTTGATTGGTGTCGGTTCATTTGCTCTCATCATGACAACTGTCATCAACAAATTCAGTTTCTACTTGCCTAAATCAAATAGATGTTTTAAAATTTAATTTTTTTCTAATTTTGATATGTCTGTTATTACTTGAGGTGAAACTTTTATTAATTGGGAGACATATAATAAAACTAATTCAGTGTACTTTATTATTAGCAAATTACATTTTTCAATTATATCTTTTTGTGAAATTACTAAGGTCAAGATTATAGTTTTAAGCAATGAATTTTAAGATAAATATTATAAATTATTTTAGAAGTAAAAGTCAGGATAATCAATGATAATTAAGGTTCTCAGCCTTTTTAAAAAACTTGGACTTATATTTCATCAAAATGTTGATGAAATTAATAAGAACAAAATCTTGGTGTATTTAATGAGCGATGTCAAGTATAACTCAATTTTTATTCAAAATTATGTTCAAGCTATGTAGTTTTTTCAAAAATAAACAAAAACATAAACATAATGAAAAATATTGATATTCGTTAATTCGTTATGGACTCGTATATAAGAGCCTCGTACTATATGAAGTCCAACAATGAGCAATAGAAAGAGGAAACTAATATTATTAAACCAAAATATCAATCTAAGATATTAATTATAATACGACAAGTCGACAACAATGAACCTGGACATGGGCTTTTACATTAGATACCAAAGGTCCAAAATTCCACTACGTACAAGTAAATCCTATAAATAAGAGGTGAAATTTATATGTATAAACACTAATTCTCTATACTGTTATGCTCTCACTATGCACATACATTACCCCTTTGGCCTTTGGCTAACGTCGTACCCTTGAGCATAACAGATCACCCCTTTGGCCTTTGACTAACATTGTTATTGTTAGTGCACAATGATCTGTTATACTCAAGAGAATCTAATTCATAGATATATGAGAGAGTTTATAAATATGAGATTAATCCACTAGTCTCTTGACTAGACATCTCTGTCCCTAAGACTAAGACAGAATAGTATCGTTAAACATTATTGTATAATCCTCACAAGTTATATATTTCATTTTTTTAAATTGCAAATAATGATTTCAGGTTATTTGATTGAGTTAATTATTTAAGGTATATGGTGGTTAAATTTATTATTTTGTGACATAAATTTTATACTTTGTTTAAACTGTAAATTATATATAACTAAAGCTTCTCTCAAAAAAATTTAACACTAAACTTCTATAATTACTTTGGAATTTTAAATACATGGTGATTAAAAGTTTTTTATTAAATGCTTACATTACTAACATTGCTTAAGTTAGTACCTGAGCATGTATATTGTTGAAAATTTAAACGTGATCAATGAATAATTATGATAAACATTAATTAGGAAAAGGACTCACTAAGAATCATATAAATAAAAAATTTATAAATTTAATATCTTCAGATTTTTGGTTAGGACCTCATGTCAATTAGTCAAATTTGTGTGAAGTTAGAACGCGTGTGTTTGATTAAGCATGTGTTGACCTTGTTTAGATTCAAACTCCTTAGTCATTATTATTTTATTAAGGCTTAGGGGAACATATGCTAAATATGTTGATAAATATTATGATTCATTAGAAGAACAACTGTTGTTTGATGAATTTCACCACATTGATAGTGTTGGGATACTTAAGTGTGATGAGTCTCACATTGGTTGGTAATGAGCTAAATGAAATTCATATAAGTAGGATGACCCATGAATTTGGGTTAAGATATGGTGTCTGATCTACTTGATATGGTGGTCTAGGTTAGCTTATTGGTGGTGTCTTCTGCCACGAGCTTCCCTTTGGACCCGCTTGACATTGGTATCAAGGCTAGGTTGGGCTTGAGCTAGGAAGATATTTGGCTAGGAGGTGGGTTGAGTACTTTGAGCCTGGGTACTCACACGAGGGGGAGTATATCGATATAAATGGGAGGACCCATGAATTTTGGTTGAGATGTGGTGTCAGACCTACTTGATATGGTGGTCTAGCTTAGCCCATTGGTGGTGTTCTTGGCCACGGGCTTCCCCTGGACCCACCTGACAATGGTATCAGAGTCAGATTGCCCTAGAGCTAGTCAGGTGTTTGACTAGGAGGCGAGTTGAGTACTTTGGCCTTGGGGTGAGCTCGGTTGAGTGAGAGCATATCAATTGTGGGTTTCACACTTGAGAAGGAGATTATTGGTTTATTCAACCCAACAGATAGCATGACCTATGACACGAAAATGTGCACAAACAACGCAAAATGTGAAAATCACCTAAAGCACAAAACTCACCACCATTGGGAACAGTGACCTGTTTGTCACTTTAAAAAAAAAATTATCCAACTGTCACGTGAACAGTAAAATTTTCCAGAGTGCCATGTGTGCAAGTTCGCTGCAGCAGGTAGCGAACTTAGTTTGCTAACATAGCACATTTTTGTTGCCACCTATTTCGCTATTGATAGTAGTAAACTAGGTAATCAAAATGTCAGACTGTTTTGAGTAAAAGCGGGACATTTGGCGATCTCTCCCAAATTTGCTACAGGCTATATCAAACTATGAGAGAGAAACATTGACTTCTTGAATCAATGATGTTGCTTGTTCGTTTTGCTCAAATTAATGGCTTGCACTTTGCCAGTAAATTCCAGCTGGCATGAGTGATTTTACACATTTCCTTTTTGTTGAAAGATATTTCATATCATTTGTGATTTTAAAATATAATTAGTGTTATAAATATAATTCACACAAAATTTGTATTCAATTAGTTAATTATTTTACTTCAATACATTACAATTAAAGTTATTTAAATTGATATAATTGAATTGATTATATTAAAAATAACTAATTATTAATTAACGTTGCTATTTGGTTATATATATTAATTAAAACAGAAGTGTGAATTATATAATAAAGTACATTAAACTAAAGTTGATTTACTTTTGTCTATTTCTCAAAGAAAAACCTCTGAGGGGGCGTTTGGTTGAGGAGAAATTTTTTGAATACTAAGAAAATGTAATTGATAGGGAAATGGTTGGAAAGTGAGTTTGGCAGGAAAATGTAAAAAAAGTTGTTTGGTTAGAAAAAAATTTACTGGCCAAATTAAGTAAGATTATAAAGTCTATGTTTGGTTTGAGGTAAAATTTGGATGGGTAAATAGTATGAAATTACAAATTTAACCCCAATACAAATATCTATTATGAGTACAAGTGGCCACTGACCGTGCCATTTGTCATCCAACAAATATTTCCATCATCTATATTACTGTTTCGTCATCCTCTACTTGCTAAATGGCCAGAACTATTTTTTTTTTTGAATCTCTCGAACCTTTGAATGATGGAGTGGATTTATATAAAGTGTTCCTCATCTCACGAAGCTTGCCATTCACAGGGTTAGTCGTGTGCAGACCGATGAGCTTGGATTCATATTAGAAGCAGCTGGGAGAGGTGTTGTACGACATCGAGTGGGACAACGACACTTTTTTTTTACTTCACCCTCGGCCCAAATCCAACGTGCAGGGTCATGGACTTCGAGGTTGGCATTCCCAGGCCAGATTTCCTTGATGGTGTTGTTTACCTTGGAACTCATGTCACCGATGGCTTCCTCTGCAACGTGTGGGAGAAAGCTTCCAATTTCTCTTTCAGATCAAGAGGGTATAATGGTCTGGAAGAAATTGTGAAAAAATGATTTAGCTGGCTATCCTCATAAAACCACCTCCAACATGTCTTTCTAAACAGTGAAAAAAGCTAGCATTCAAGAACAAATTGAAAATGCTATGTAAATAGGATGACTGGGGAATTGAAGTGAATCTGTTGAACCAAACAAGTGCTTTGGGGATTGCTTGCTTCATTTGCATAGGGAAATTTGTAAAAACCCTCAACCAAACACCACCTGATAGTCTTCTTTTCAACACTAATGAAAAGTCGAAGAGCAAAGCAGGTTTCATAGCTTCACAGGTTTCAATGTTAAAACATATATCACCTCATTTTCTCTCATAGTTCGCTATGACCTTTAGCGAATTTAAGAGAGATTGTTCTTGGACAGGTGGCTTCAATACTCAAGAAGGGGGGTGAATTGAGTTTTACAAAATCTTTTTGCAAAGTATCTCCTTTGATGTTTTAAAGACTTTTTCTTCAATAAAGTGATTTAATAAGGAAAAGTCTAATTGTAAAAGCATGTGTAGTGATCAACAAAGTAAGCAAGCGAATATATAAAGATAATCTAAGATGCAATTTTAATACTTAAATAAAGAGATTAAGGTTAGAGAAATTGCAAACTAGATGTATC